GCCATGATCCATCCCAACCTCAGGCAGTTCCGGCATGGGCACACACACGTCCTGTGTACCCAGGGGGTGTGCAGATGAAAGTCTGGAACCTTTCCATGTGAGTCGGTCTTGCAGGGTGCAGTGTTTTACCACTCCTCAGCCATCTGACCCCGATGTGGCCTAAATATTCTGAAATATTTAGAATATTCTTAAAGTATTTCTAAAATAGTTCTTGAAATTTCTAGGGCTATTCCTAGGAACTGGGATAAAGTGTTGACCGTCTAGAGGTTCCATGGTCATGGGGGGAGGTAGAGTGAATAAGTAAAGAACAAGCCAGGTAATGCCAGGTGGTAACAGTACTTTGTGTAAAATAAAACAAGGGACGCATAGAAAGTCACCAGGGGGAGATGGGGAGGTCAGCAAAGACCAGTCTGAGGAAGTGACATTTGAGCTGAGAAAACTTGAATGACCACATACCAAGAGCTGAGGAGGAGGAGGTCAGAGACACAGCAAGGGAAGAGGTCCCGCAGTGGGAACAAGCTAAAGTCATTACATGAAAGAACAGAACAGAGTAGCTGGACAGGGGTGGCCCAAGGGCAGAGTGGTCCAAAATAGAGCGGGAGAGGCATGTAGGATTACACAAGGCATGGCAGGATATTACTGCAAGCACCATGGTGTATGAGTTAGCTATTGCTGTGTAACAAATTGCTCCCAGATTTAGCAGTTTCAAATAAAACGCACTTGTTTTCTCTTAGTTTCTGTGACTGAAGAGTCTGGGCAGGTCTTCTCTGAGCCCCCTACTTCAGGTCTCTCAAAGGTTGCCACAAGGTGCTGGCCGGACTGTAGTCAGATCCAGGTTCAACAGGGGAAGGTTTTGCTTCAGGCTCACGCTGTTGTTGGCTGTATTCAGTTCCTATTGGTCTGGGGCCTTTCTAAGTTCCCTACTACATGGGCCACTCCAGCATCATCAAAATATGCAAGGAGAAAGCAACAGAGTTTTCTATCAAAGAGGAAGTCAACACTGATTGTAACCTGATCACAGAATGACATCCCTCTCCATTGCTGTATTCTATTTGGTTTTTTTTTTTTTTTTGAGAGATTTTCACTGTAGGGCACGTGCGCTCGCCAGACAGGCAGAGAGAGACATTAGAGACAGAAAGCGAGAAATCACCCCCCAGGGGGGATGGTCACGCCGCAATCCCTTCTCCTCCATTCTCCTCTCGGGATCTTGGGCACGCACACACACGTGCCCGGCGTGAGTTTTAAGCCACCGGGTCCGGGACGCGAACCGCGGTCGACTATGTGGGAGTCCAGCGACATAGCCATTATGCTAACTGCTGGTTCCCAATTCTATTTGTTTTTTAAAGTGAGAAATTACCTCCCGGAGCGATGGCCATGCTGCGATCCCTTCTCCTCCATTCTCCACATAGGATTTTAGGCACACACGCACACGTGCCTGGTGTGATTTTTGACTTGAATTGCTCAGTTGGCCATGTGGAATCTAGCCACCTTAACCTCCATGCCATCAGCGGGCACCTCCACATTCTGCGATATTTATTAGAGTCACAGATCCCACAAGCACCCCAGGGACACCAGCAGGTGGGGATCCGTGGGGTCATCTTAGAAGCCTGCCTGCCACTGAAAAGGAGCCACTGGAGGCATCTAAACAAGGAGAGGACGTGATCAAACTTGGCTTCCTTGAGTATTGGGAGTGCAAGTGGGGGACGGGCACGATTGGGGGCAGGAGGCCAGTCCGGGGCTGGAGTGAAAGAGGATGTAGGTTTGGATGAAGGAGGTAGAGTGCTGGAGAGTTTGAGAAGCAGAGCCCAGGGTCAGGCCAGCGGGTCGGAGGTGAGGGCGAGTGAGGAGGACTCAGAGGACGGAGAGGACTCTGGCTTGCTGTGACATGTGCTTCCTGCCTGTGGGGTGATGGACTTGGACTCTTCTTGTTCTCCTCCTGGGACAGACAGGGTGGCACCGCCTCCACCCTCCCCCAGCCCTACCCAAGGTCACACATTGCTGGGTGGCTGGCCAGGGTTAGAAGCCCCTGGCCATGAACAGAGAACAAATGTCTCCTGTGCTGGGCCGAGGGACTGACCCCACGTCCTCAGTCTCGTTAGTCTGTCCACGCTCAGGCCAGCAAGCCAGGGGGACAGAAGTGCTCGCCTACAACTGTGCTCACATCAGCCAGCCCTGGAGAGGGCTGAGAGGTGTGCACGTGCGTGTGTGTGTGTGTGTGGAGTGTGTACACACGTGCATGTGTCTGTCTCAGCAGGGGTCCAGAACAGCTCAGGGCAGGAAGGGTTACTATAATGACCTTAGAATGTTAGGGCACCACCGACCAATACTCAGGAGAGACAAACACACGCTTCACCTGCCAAGTATGCGCCTACACAAAATCTGTATCTGCTGTCTGTGAGACAGAGACGTCGAGCATTGTGTGGTTACCATTTCCTGTGTTACTACCACCTGCAGCCTCACTGCGAAGCCCTTGATAGACATCTCGCTTAATCCTTCTAACAATCCGGCAATGCCAGTATTATCCCAGCTCATAGATGGGAAAACTGAGGTTTAGAAAAGGTAACTAAATTGCCCAAGGTAACAGCCAGGAATTGATGCAGATCTAACTCCAAATTCATGCTCCTAGCTGCTTCTACCATCCTCCCTCCCATTTAGGCTGGTAGAAGGTTTGTTTCTTGCTTCCAGAGGTGAAACTAAAGGCGGAAGATTTTCTTCTGAAAAGTGGATCCAGATTTGACAGAGTAAAGGGACCATCCAGAGAGTAACTGGTGCCCCCTGGTGGTGAAGGCTGGAACAGGCAGTGGCCTGGGAACACGGATGCGCTTGTTGGGCCAGTTTCTGGGGGACAAGGACACCAGCAGTATCCGTGATTCCATCAAGTCAGGCTGCCCCAGGCAAAGGGCTACAGTGTGTCCCTCTTCTGGGGCTCACAGGATGTCCTCGTGCTTTCTCCCTAGGTCAGCCAGGCGCCAATCAGAGGTGATACACATCATTAACTCAAATGACATCACCCAACACCAGCCGGCTCTTGTCATTCAGATCTAGTGTGGCACCTAAATGCAGACTCCTGCACACAACACACTGGCACTTCTTGTGTACAACGTGGGGCCTAGGACTTCGGCCATTTAGATGCCAGGGTGGCACCCGAAGAGGGAAAGCCTCATTACTGGATTGTATTTGCTTCAGGACCGAGCCCCACCTGGGGATTTCCTGGGAACTTGATCCTCCTAGGTCCCCCAGGGAAACAGAGGAGGCAGGAAGTGCTCTGTTGCTTTGGGGCACAGAAGAGGCCTAGGATTCTGCTGGGGGAGGCAAGATGGCAGGGTTCATAAAACACCAGAATACCTGGGGTATTTTCCACACCCGATTTGAGCCTCCTGAGTGGACTCAGAATAAAGCTCTGAAAGTTGCTCCAGGTCTGGTGGCTGCAATGTTTGTCCTCAGTAGAAAGAGGCCCCTTGGGGGGAGGGGCGGGGGGAGGGGTGAGAGGGGGGGGGGGGGGGGAGGGGTGAGAGGAGCAGGTGGGGCTCAGAAGCAGCCTGTGTGCTATTTCCAGCTCTATCACTGACTCACGGTATGACCTTGCTGAGGGGATGGCTTTCTTTTTTTTTTTTTTTTTTTTTTTTTTTTTTTTTTTTTTTTTCGCGGAAAAAACCAAGGACAAAACTTGCATTCTCCCCCCCAGGAATAAGAGTCCTGGAATATGGGAATATGGGGACCTCTCTGCTCCTACAAACCTGACATGTATGATTCTGCTGTTAGTGGAAAAAAAAAAAGGCTTAGATTTGAACCCAAGGAACTTTGAGAGACACTCGAAGCAAGAAGTTCGTGCCATAACAAGACTTAACAGCCTCTCTTCAATGCAGGGTTTCTCCAACCGTTTTCAAATCACGCTCCCACATGAATACGTCCCTGAGTGGTGCTCACGTTGTCTGTGGAAGAGGAGAGGGAAAGTATCTTTTTTCTAGTTTCAGGGTGACAAAACTGTTTCTCAGGTGTTTCATTAAAGGGGTCCCTTTAATTATTATTTTAAACTATACTTATTTTATGAAAGATAGACAGAGACAAACGCCTTCAACGGGCTCTCATGTCACAATCTCCCCTGCAGCCTTTTAGCCAACCAGAATTACAGATGCTCAAGAACAAGTCAACCCAGGAATTGAACCCTGAGCCTCCAGACAACCTCCAGCTTTGCAGAACATGGTGCTATCACTGTGCCACCACGCTGGGGATGCTTTTATTGTTTTACTGACCTGCGTCCTCTTTTCCCAAGCCCTTGATGACTAAATAGCATGCATATATTAAGCTGAAATCATCCCTGTTTTCATTAATCAAAGTCACCAATGAGTGCCAGATAAAGTTCCTGCTTGGCACAAAAGGATGAATGCTACCACTGAGCCTGATGCCAAGAACCGCGGCATTTACGCTCCGCGACCTCCTCAAAGCTAAAGGCTCCATTTTCACCAGGCGTTTTTAAATTTTGCAAAGCGTTCATATTCAAGGAGCCCAGGGAATCCAAGCTGAGAAGTCCCCGGAGAGATCAAGTGACCCGTGAAAGAGTCGATGGCTACTGGTGAGACCAGGACCAGATCCAGGATCCTGAGTCAGGCCAGAGCTCCAGCCAACCGGGACATGGGAGGGCTCGCATGCACACTCAGACACCCAAGTACACAGCACACATGTAACAAGACAACAGCCCGACCAAACGCGGGTGTCATGAAGCAATGACGCCAGGGGCTCAGACCAGTACCAGGCACCCTCAGTACTGGAGTGAGCCGCCAGACCAAGCCTGAGATTGGGAACGTGGAGGATGCAACAGATAATTTCAAGGTGCTCTGCAGAGTTCTGAGTGGGAGGTGCATTTATTCTGCCACCTGCCAGCTCTTTGTGATACTTTCCCATCAAGTACCCCGTATACAGGCTGAGGCATTTCTTCCACTCTGGGAGCATTCAGACCACCCCCTCCCAGCCACAGCCCCAGCCCCCAGCACAGCACCCACCTCTTTAAAAGGATGAGACTGGAGTCCAAGGCTGAACCCTTGAAGCTGAGGACAGCAACAGCAAGTTGGGAACCCTGAAGAATGGAGAAACAAGACAGGGGACTCTGGGAGGTCTGGCTGAGTAGCCCGGCTATAAGCAGGGGAAAAACTACTGGGCTCCAAGCTCCTCAAAGATTACCCCTGGGTCTTCCCCGCCTCCCTCACACCCCCCACCAGCAGGGCTCCTGCAAACACTCGACTCTATCAAGCCCTTGGCTCACTCCCAGAGGCTCAGTTTTTGATCCTGTGGCTCAGAGGCATTAAGACTACATGTACCTTTGGAAAAAGACTGGGGGCTTAGCTCCGCCGCTTCAGAATCCCAGGCTCCACCAATCACAGCAGGGCCAAGTGGCCAAGGCAGGGTCTCTGGGGGCCTGTTACCCAACAGCTGTCTCTTGAGTTATTTTGGTCCCATGGGAGCTTATCAGTCCTGGAGTATTTGGACCAAAATAGCTAACAGCAGGACAACCTCTTTTGGTGGCTCTGTGGGGACCTCCCCATAGAAAAGTTTCTAAAACGGAGGTGTGGGGATAGGGGTGGAAGAGGGACTTGAGTTTGGCTTGGGGGTTGGTGAGGAGGGAATGCTGCCAGCGTGGAGGCGAATCTCACCAGTTTTTCGCTGTCCTTTCAGCCTTGGCATCTCCCTGAACTCCGCCGAGGCCATCAGAGCAGTGAGTGGTAGGGGAGAAAGGGGAAAAATCACTTTTGAACTCTTACTTCTTGATTCCTCATCCTGTACAGATCTGCTGAGACACCCATTACTTCTTTCCATTGTACAGATGGGGCTGGCTCAGCTTAGACTGATTGAGATACCTATTCCAAGCCTCACAGCACAGAAGTAACCCAGGCCTCCTACCCCAGGCCATAGTGCCTATGGTTGGGACCTCAGTCAGGCCAGCAGCAGGCCCTGGTTGATACCCAAGCCCAGAGTCAGGCTGAAAAGCGCTGACTAGCCCTGACCGGCTTTCAGGCCTGGGGGGAGGAGTGCTGGCTCCCTCTGCCTCACCGAGGCGGGTCAGCTGCAGGGGCAGGAGGGAAGACCTACTACCCTATCGCCCCCTGGAGGCTGCCCAAACTCAGGTCAGCCGTCCCCAGAGCACTCCCTGGAGCCCGCAGGATTGCCGGCGGCGCAGAGCCAGAGTGACCCAGGTTCCTCTTTCTTTGGCAACGCAGGTGGCACTGAGAGCCCACCTGGCACCAGGCAGGCGTGGGGGTGAGGGGTGCACGCCCTGGGCACGCCCTACAGAAACCGCCTGTGGACTCCGTAATTGAACTTAGTCGTCGAGCGCCTCTGGCCAAGTCTGCGCGACAGGTCTTATTGTCCAGTTTCAGAAATCAGCTGCCCGGTAGGGCTGCGTTTGGCGACGGTCACTCGGCCACCCCTACAGCTCCCGCCTCTCCCCCGGGATTTTCCAGCAGGTTAATTTCCTGTGCGGGTAAATCCTCTCGCCAGTCCCCCGCCCCTCCCTTCCCGCCTCTCCCCCCTCCATCCCAGTCGCCGGAGCTCCCCCAGTTCAACGGCGCCGCGCTCGGTCGCCCCCTCGCGCCCGGGCGCACGCCCTTCCCGCCCGGGCTGCCCTCCGGC